GGCGACAAGCTGCACGAGCTGGAGAAGGAGAACCTGCAGCTGCGCTCCAAACTGCACGACCTGGAGATTGTGAGGCCCTCCGCCTGCCTGCTGCCATGGAAACAGAGGCTGCCCCCTCCCTTTCAGGCCCCGTTACCTAGGCCCTGCTCCAGAAGGAAAACCGTGGAGCAGAAGTGTTTTCAGACTTTTTGTGTGTCATTTAGGGAGCTAAATGACATATAAAAATTTTAACCACCCTCCCACTTCCCACCGGCCCCCGACTAGCTCTGTTGGTAGAGCCTGAGACTCATAACCTCGGGGTAGTGGGTCCGTGTCCCACGTCGGGAGCCAGATCCTCCATGTTGGAGGTTGGGCACAAGGCTAACAACCCTGTCTTGTAAAAAACTAATGTTCCGATTACAGCAATAGGATGTTGCTGCCCCTACATGCTGGAAGGCACAATGGGCAAACATCCATGGATCCATCCATCCACCCAGTTCACATGAAATTTAATCGTAATATAAGAAGTTTTTCACACCTGAATTGGGTCATAGTACTCTGTGTCACTCATCTTTTGTCAGACTGATGATCTTTGTACTGTGACACTTTCAGGAGGTTAGGCTTTAGTCTAAGTCCGTATTCATTGCTCCCCTTCCTGAGTTTCTTCATCACTGTACAGTTCATTCCCTGATTTGGTCCAGTTTAACCTACTTCTTGGTTTTGATGAAAATATGCTGGAAGGAGTATAAAAGAATACTGGTTGTAGATGTAGTTTTATTGTGCGGTTATGATGCTTCAATATACTGTAGTGCTACCAAACTCATGACATTTCCAACAATGTTATGTTAATACCCTTTTCCTTATAAAAAAACATTTACATTTCAAACTTTGAATTAAATCCTAGAGGCTAAAGAAAATCAAACCACTAGAAAAAAATAATAGAACTAACGTTAGTATCCATGCAGGGATGATTTCAATTTTTTTTTTTAAAGAAAGGGTGCAGTTTAATGTCAAAAAAGGCTGTGGAGTCTAAATTAGCTGACTTTTCTTATTCCATCTCTGCAGGATCGTGACACAGATAAGAAGAGAATTGAAGAGCTGCTGGAGGAGAACATGATGCTGGAGATCGCCCAGAAACAGAGCATGAATGAGTCTGCACATCTGGGCTGGGAGCTGGAGCAGCTGTCTAAGAGTGCCGATGTCAATGATGGTCAGTGGGCTTCTCATTTTAACCCTTCTAGTGGACAGCTTTATGTCAGCTAGAGTATATTATGCCTTTCGAGTGCCTTGAAACTTTATAGAGCTGTAACAGCTGAGAAAACGGCAAATAACTTAATGCAGAAACCTTCAGATATTTCTGGTGTTCCAGTAAGACAGTGTTGTTGCTTCCTTGGCAGAATGTTTTGTAGAAACTAGAGATAATGGACCAGTTCAACATCAATCTCAGCAGTTTTCTTCGTGGTCAAGATGGGGAATTTGATGGAGCTACTGAAGTATTGTGTGCTTTAGAAGAGGAAAGTTTTGGGTTAGAGATGGAAGTACCACAAACTGCCAGGATATGGCTTAAAGGACCACCTTATCACTGTTTATCTCTGTTTTTTCACAGTGTGCATAAAACATGAACTGAAGAGAAACATGTAGAAGGTGTGAGCATGGAAAGGGGTCATTGTTCTGCACACTGAAATGATAGGATAGAGCATATGGATTGTACCTTATGTTTTTTTATTAGCTTGTCTGCTTTTCATAAATGCAAGTCCTTTGCCTTTTAAGAAGGCTAAAAACGTGAGAGAAATTGATTGGAATGTAAAAGAGGAAAATGGTCCTAAAAATTTCTCAAGAAGTTAAAAAATAAATAGAAATTTGCTTTCAACTTTACTGAAGCTGTATGTTTGAAAAGTAGAGATTTATTGTTCTCTGTCCTTGTATGAAAGTCAGAATATGTTTCTGAAAACATGGTAGCAATGGCTCTGTATACACCTGAAGTTAGACTAGTTTATTTTTGCTGGCCGTGAAGTATAGTTTCACACAACCTTTGAAATACTTTATGTTCATATACAGGCCATCTAGACAATTGGCACCTGCTCACCATTCAACACATAGCTCCACTGTGCACACCTGTAAGAATGGCCTTTTTCCCTTTATATTTTTCCCTTGAAAATATTGCAGAAATCTCTGGAATACAAATGGCTAAGGAAATCAACACTCCCAGTCAGTGCCCCGTCTCTATGAGGAGATAAGTATCTGTTGAATAATTTAACGCAAAGGAGTTCTTGTTTCAACAGCTCGCAAGTCATTTGTGTTCGAGCTGAACGAGTCGGCCTCCAGCCGCATCCTGAAGCTGGAGAAGGAGAACCAGGGGCTGCAGAGCACGATCCAGGAGCTGAGAAACGCCTCGCTGAGCCTGGAGGAGGAGAACCTCCGAGTGCTGGAGCTGGAGAAGCAGAACCAGGGTCTCGACAAGAAGGTGAGCTGGGCTGTGGGCTGGCTGTGAGGTTGTGGTAGGCTTCTCTGTGTCCATGCCAATGTGGTACCCGTCTTACAGCCACAGTGTTAAAAACCCACACTGGAGAAATGTCTCCTTTTTGACAAGTGTAGATCTGGATGTGCATTTTAGTCAGGGGAATTTGTTTGAAGATAAGTTTATGAAGTTGGTTCAGTAAAGTGCTCGGTGCTGGTTCAGTGAAGTGCTTTACTCAGATTTGCAAATGGTTGTGGAAATTGTGATATCTTATTGTAAGTTATGCTGCTTTTTAGTTATAGGGAAAAAAATCCCCCAAGCATCTTTAATCAGATTGAATGTTGGCAATTACAGATGCTGAAAGAATGTACAAGATAAGCCAATTGTAATAGATTTTAAGTTTAACAAAGTTTAATTAAAAAAAAACGTTTTCTTGACAGAACATATTTTACTATGGAAGAATCTTCACTATTGTACCAACTTATTCAAAAGAGGAATGAAGTTTGGCTGAGCTGTTCAGCCCAAAGGAGCAGGATTCAGTGACACATGATTTGTGTGTGATGGTCTTTGCTTGTGTTTCAGCTGGAGAAGTTGCAGACCCTGCTGGATCAAGAGAAACAGACCACACTGGACATGGAGAGTCTAGGAGAGGAGCTCCTGAAGGACAAGCAGAAACTACAGGCAACACTAGACGCTGTCCGAGCTGAGAAAGACAGACAGGCAAGTGTGAGGGGTACCCAGAGCAACTGAGTGCTGGATCCTCCAGGTGTCCCCTGACTATTTTCTGGGTTGGTCTTGCATACCGGTCAGGTTCTCTGTCTTCTCACCATCTCAGAAACATTCAACAAGCAGTGAGAGTACTAATCATTTGTAAGCTATAGTATTGTAAGAAATAGCCAGCAGCTACATCACCATGCAGCTCTCAACTGGCAACCCGCTGAAGCTAAGCATGTGTGAGCCTGGTCAGTACCTGGATGGGAGTCCTCTTGGGAAGCTATGTTTGCTGCCGGAAGTGGTTTTAGTGAGACTAGCAGGGGGGTGCCCAGCCTGCGGTCTGTGTGGGTCCTAATGCCCCAGTATAGTGGTAGGGACACTGTACTGTAGTGGGTGCCATCTTTCGGATGAGACGTTAAACCGAGGTCCTGACTCTTAAGTGGTCATTAAAGATCCCTGGACATTTCTTGAGAAGAGTAGGGATTTATCTCGGTGTCTGGGCAAAATTTCTCCCCTTGGCCTTTACTGTGGCCTCCAAATTGTCCGCATGTATGATTGGCTTGCACTTGGCCTGCGATGGACTGGTGCCTCGTCCAGGGTGAACCCTGCCTTCCGCTCGTTGCTTGCCGGGTAGGCTCTGGCACCGTATGGTATAAAGCGGTTTGGTAAATGACATGACAGTGTTGTGAGAAGTGCAGAGAAAGTCTGAATCACCCAAAGTTAAATTTGTTGTTGTTGTCTCTCATAATAAATAAAGTTGTCTCTCAGAACAACCTTAAAGTGCCTGCAAGCTAGTGGATGAAGGCAGAACCATTCACAGATGTTCCAAGGGAGATCTGAAGTGAAGATAAATCCCACAGAGAATTGTCTGGGTGGAATTATGGGTGTTATTCTTTCCATTATGCCTGATGTTGACATTAGCAAATTTGCAAGAAAACTCCTCAGCAAAATTAAGCCAAGCAAAAAAAAATGAGCTAGATGTTTTTTCTCCTTCTAAACTTCATGAATGTATTCAAACCTCACATTTGAGGTTAATACCATAGTTAGATGATCAGATCCATCTTCATGCTGCATGTCTAGGAAAGACATATGATGGTAAGATATTCTTATTTGGTAAATAGTGGTTGAGATTAAACATTAAAATAAAAATGTTAAACTCAACATGGTTAAGAAATAGTGAGGTTTGAGTGGAAAGCTATATTGCTGTGGGAGCTACATGGGAACAAGTGAGCGTTAATTCCTCACAGAAAGAAGACTTTTCCACTTTTTATCAAGGGTTTAACCTCTACTTGTTTCTTGACTTGGATAATGACAAAGAAAGAAGGGTCATGTTGGAATGTTACCTCAGTGGCGCCGCTTTAGAACAGGCTTCTTTCTTCCTTCTGCAGGTTTCCGAACTGGAACACGAGAAGGAGCACCTGAGCCAGACTGTGGCCTCCCTGCGGCAGAGGGCTCAGATCAGCAGCGAGGCACGCATGAAGGATGTGGAGAAGGAGAACCGCATTCTCCACGAGACAATCACAGACACGGGCAGCAAGCTCACACAGCTGGAGTTCGAGAAGAAACAGGTCCAGAAGGAGCTGGCCCAGCTCCAGGAGAGGATGGAGAAATCGGAGGAACTGGAGACAGAGGTACAGAAACTGGAGCGGGCCAATGAGCAGTTGCAGAAACAAGTGGCTGCCCTGAAGATCACCTGTGACAGGATTGAGGCCCTGGAACAGGAGAATGCGGATATGGAGCAGGAAAACAGAAGGCTGAAGAAGCTGGCGGACACAGCACAGAATATGGCGCTCAAACTGGAGGCTCTGGAGAAGGAGAGCCGTCAGCTGGACGAAGAAAATCTGGAGCTGAGGAGGACGGTGGAGTCTCTGAAGTACACCAGCGCCAAGCTTACACAAGTAGAGGTGGAGAACAAGGAGCTTGAGAAAGAGAGAGAGGAGCTGACCAGGAGAATGGAGGTGCTGAAAGCTCTGAATAAGAAATCGGAACGTCTGGAGCTCAGCTATCACAGCCTGGATTCTGAAAACCGGAGGCTTCAGCAGATGCTGGAGAACAGTAACACCAAGATCCAGCACCTAGAGAAAGAGCTGCAGGACACCGAGCAGGAGAACCAGGTGCTCCAGAAGAATCTGGAAGAGCTACGCATTTCTAGCAAGAGGCTAGAGAGCCTGGAGCAGGAGAAACGGGCTCTGGAGCAGGAGCTGGGCCAGGCTGAGAAGGACAGGAAGCAACTGGAGAAGGAGGCCAAGAGACTGTGGCAGCAGGTTGAAGTGAAGGAAGCTGCGTTAGATGAGAGTGGCATGAAGCTGGCCACCATAGAGAAGGAGAACAAGATCTTGGAGAAGGAACTTACGAAGTACAAGGAGGCCTCAAGTAAAGTGAAGGAGCTGGAGAAGGATAACAAAGAGCTGCAGAAACAGGCCACTATTGACAAGAGGACACTTGCTACCTTAAGAGAGGTAGGGTTCTTTATACAGATTCTTAAAATAACTTCACTTAGTATTTTAAGTATTATTTCCAAGATAACATTTTAAGTAAAAACCATTGACTTATTGTTTTTTTTAATTCTTCAGCCAACTTACTAGAAAACGCATGAATATAGATATCATTTCTACAAAAGCAATGTTTGCATTGATTTTCCTTGGTTGTCTCCATGCGATTTATTGAAAAAAGTTGAGAGGCACATATCTTATTTAGTGGGGGATGAAGGAAAAGCAACAGTTAAGTGAGCAGATCTGACTAGATGCTGGCAGCTGAACAGTCTGTGGATGCGCTTAACCTGCAGGACCTGGTTCACGAGAAGCTGAAGAGCCAGCAGCAGTGGAATGAGCTGGAGAAGCTGAGCCATGAGCTGGAGAAAATTGGCCTCAACAAGGAGAAGCTGCTGCAGGAGGAGCATAGCACTGAGGACAAGTAAGGAAACGTTGAAACCCTGATCGAGCCAGGGTCACGGCACGACCTGACTATGACTGGAATTCCCCAGGCAGGAATGGCAGGGTGAGATTAATCGGCCAGGGCTCCCCAGTTCTCTGTGTTACAGTGACCCCTATGAACACGTGCAGGACTTCTGGTGCTGGTACGGGTGTGTGGTGCTTCTGACATGCTATCACATTGCATTGGGATAATAATAATAATTGCTTACACTTATATAGCGCTTTTCTGGACACTCCACTCAAAGCACTTTACAGGAGAGCAGC